TCGGTCTCCCGATAAGATACGGGTCCTGGGGCTGCGTAACACCGACGTTAAGATCCTGAGCTCGGTCATGAACAGGGTCCTCGAGCCTGTCGTCCAAGCCGTTGCACCTGCTTCCCAGAGAGGCTTCATTAGAGGACGAATTTTTTGCTACAACGTGCTTGAGCTGGATGTCCATGCACGGCTTGCATCGCAACATCCCCTAGCTGTGCGTCGTTACCCTGTCCTCGTCGGGTTCGACTACGGGCAGGCCTTCCCGAGCTTGTCGCAGTCCTTCCTGCTACAGCTATTGGGCTCTCTTGGGCTCCCCGCCGAGATTCTCGCTTTTGTGGGCTGGATGTATTTGGCTGTTGAAGGTGTGGTCCTGGATGGGGGATGCTACTCGACCATCTTCTGGATCCGCTCGGGCATCATCCAAGGCTGTGGTCTCTCGGGGTCTTTGTACGCTCTCGCCTCCTCCCCCATGTTGGCCGACCTCGAGCGGAGTATTGAGCAACGTCAGTTGGGGATATGCCGTGCCTGTGCCGATGATCTAGGCGCTGTCCTGTATGAGCTAGCCTCTCTGCGCATCCTGGTGCGGGTCCTCGGTGTCATGGAAAAGATTGCGGGCCTCAAGATTAAGATCAGCAAGTGCACCCTGGTCCCTCTCGTCGGCCGCATGACAGAAACCCTGAAAACCATGACCCAGACCCAGCTGGCTTCTATCGCGAGTGACTGGTCAGGCTTTGTCGTTGAGGGGTGGTTGCTTTATCTTGGGATGATCTTGGGCCCAGATGCGACGGTCGACATGAACTGGAGGGGCCCGCTTATGAAGGCACGATCTCGCTCTCGGATGTTGGGACGTGGGGTTGCGTCAGTCTGTACGAATTGTATCTTGTACCGCACGCGGGTCTACCCCTGTTTGGCGTATGTAGCCCAATTCCTCCCTATGCCCGAATGGTTCCTTCCCATTGAGCGTGGTGCCATCGCCCAAGTTCTCCGTGCTCCTCTTGGCCTCTTTTCGAACGAATCGATCCTGGAGCTCCCGGCCTGGGGTGGTCCTCAGATTCCATCGTGGGCTGCCCATGCTACTGCAGCTCACCTACGTGCTGCTTTTCACACCTTCCAGGGCTTTGAGGAATACTTACGGCTACTGCGACAAACGGCTTCTCTTTGGCACAGAGAGGTTGTGGAAGGGAAGTTTGATGATATCCCCTTGGCTGCTGTGGATCGCTCCCGTGTTTATCCATCTTTCTGGAAATCCCCTGCGTTCGTCGAACACCTTGAGCTGGTCCACGTGAGGTCTCAAGAGCCCCTACTCGTCGCCGCTCGCTCTGCCATGCGTGAGGAAGCTCAGGTTACGACACGAAGGCCCAAGCTGCAACGTGCTGCTGCCCGCTCGTTGGGTCAGAACATGTGTACGCACAAACCTCTACATGCCATGCTGATTCGCCACTTAACCCCGTTATTCACAGCTTACCTCCCCTTCCTCAACCTGATCCACTGGCCCGCTATTCAGGAGCTTTTGGCATTGGTTCCGCAAAGCTGGGCGATGGCAGCCTTACGGACTTGGGGGCATGGATGGCTGACATCACATAGGATTATCCACCCGAGGGGCAAACTTCGCTGTCGTTTCGGATGCCCTGGCCCTGATCGGCTGCAACATTATCTGCGCTGCCCTAAATTGTACCTGGCAGTCTGCAAAGGTCTACAGCGTGCCCTGCCTCGCCCCCTGGCTCAGCGTCTTGGCCTTACCCACCCCCACCCTGACCACTTCGAAGCTCTCTATGTCTATTACCAGGTCTTCAACTATGCTCGGCAAGGTGCTCTAGTGTCGACTCCCCGTCAGTTGCGTGGTTATGTTGAGGCCGCCGTCCGCACCTCTCGTCTGGCCAGGCCTTCAGCCAAATTGAAACGGTGGGAACCTCCTCCCGCTGTCCAGACGATCCGCCGAAGGCAGCCTCAGTGGGATGTGCTCACCTCATCGTCCACCTCCTGTTTGAGTTCAGATGCTGCGGCCCCCATCCCTGACCTGGTCCCTTCCACCCCGTGTGACGACGATGTGATACATAGCGCTGATGAAGCTGGCCAACCTGTTCCCCATCCAGTGTCTCCTGTGCCCATTCCTGCTGGCGCTTTGGCTCAGTGCGAGGCCCTGCCCTCAAGGCAGGTCGTCAACGGGCGGGCGTCCGCTCCTGCTGCCACCTCGCCGCGACCTGCGGCATCCATGTTCCCATGGCCGCTTGCCGCCACGGTGGCGCTCTCCGCGGTCCATGCAGCGTCGTTGTCTGTCCCAGCTGCATGTGAGGCGGATGTTACTCGGCTTGAACGTGTATATCGTGCGACCACCAAGCGTGTCGAACGCCTTCGTGCTGGTGGGCTTCCTGTTCGTGAGGACCCTTCTCTCCCTGAACAGTTGCGGTGTCTGGACGATGCCACCTCCTCGAGGTCGACGCCGTCACCGAGTACTCACATCCTGCGTCTGGCGGGCCATCCACATTCTTCCTCTGTGGAGCATGCAACACCTGTTGTCTTTGGCGAACGTATTGCACCAAGGGCTACACGCTGGATCTTGCGCTTGGATGACTCCGAGAGCGGCCGTGCCGACTGGTTGATGTGGTGCATCCCATACGTACGTGCCAAATTTGAGGCGATGGAATGGGTGGATTCGTCTGGTTGGAGTGGTGCTCTTGACGAACTCGCTCGTCATATCTGCATGGTTGCCTGGGACACCTCTACCGAGGGGCGCCTCAATACTGTAGATTACTTTCGGTGGCTGAATGACCCGCGTAACTCCTTGACGCGACACGGGCTCTGGGAAGAGATGGTGGATCGACATCTCCAAGCCCTTCGTGAGATTCGCAGAGAGATGAGGCAATACTTGGGACCCGCTGCACCACACCGCATTCGTGACTTCCTTGTGGACAGCAATGGAGACGAGTCCCTGCCCATCGTTGCTGCCAACGGGTCGGTGCACTACTTTGCCTCACTCGTCTCAGCAGTGGATCCCGATGATGGTGATGCCGCCGATGGTGATGGTGACGTTGACCATGCCTCTTTCCTCCTCCAGGTCTCGATCGCAGGGTGCTCCTCGAGCCCTGCGGCCACTGGCGTTAGAACGCGGAGGTCGACCGCCTCCTATGGAAATAACGGCTCTGGAGTAAGTTGTGAGCTTGCGTCTCGAGTTCGGAGGTCGACCGCCTCTGTTTTAAATAAGGGCTCTGGAGTAAGTTGCGAGCCTGTGTCTCGAGTTCGGAGGTCGACCGCCTCTGTTCTAAATAAGGGCTCTGGAGTAAGTTGCGAGATCTCGTCTCTTGTGCGGAGGTCGACCGCCTCTGATGGAAATAAGGGCTCAGACATCGAGAATTGCGCCTTCTTCGTGAATCGCGCCGACGTCGAGTGTTGCCCCGTCATGGTGAGTTGCGCCGTTTTCGAGAGTTGCGCCGTCTTCGAGAGTGTCGCCGTCAACGAGAGTTGCGCCGTCCTCGAGAGCTGCACGCCATCCTCGAGAGTTGCGCCGTCTCGGAGAGTTACGCCGTCGTCACGAGCTTCTCCGTTGTGGACACGGATCGCCTCTCTCTTCGCTACTACCCCGTGCTCGTTTTCCCCGACCTGGCCGTGTTCGACGGCTGCCGCCCCTTCGTTTGCGCCCTGTCCGTCGCTGATGGCGGGACCCTCCTCTTCGATTTCGCCTCTGACGAGAATTTCGTCGTCATGGTCATGCAGTGCTACTCTATCTTCTTCTATTGGTACGAGTCCTGGTACAGGAGTTGGGGGCACCCTCAGATTGCCCTATGTGTGTGAGTGCCGTCGGAAAAGGCTCCTGTTGCCCATTTTCCTCAGGCGCCCGAGCCCGAGGCACCTGCATAGTGGGCGGAAGTACAGGCGTAGGTTGTCTTCCCAACGGGGGGCGCGGTGCGAGTGGGGACTGCCCGGCGGCGCGCCGTTAGTGACCCTCGCACCGTTGCTCCCCGGCCCCGCGCACGGCGCGGAGTGTGCCCCGTGTTGGATGAGGGTCTCTCTCTCGTCCCTTTCCTTTTCGAGGCGTGTTCGTGATTCACCTGCACGCTCTCGGCACTGTCCTCACTGCTCTCTGCGTCTCGTCTCGGTCCCATCTTGCGTTCTCGCTCCCCCCTGCACTCAGCATCCTCTGAATAAGAATGATATAAATTCGACGGCTATCCGCTGCACATCATGGGCTGCAGCGTCGGCGGCCTCAGCTACAACAGCTTCGACAGGAGGCGTGCCCATGCTGCCTCAGGCGCCGTGCTAGGCGCGGGGAGCTGACCTCTGGGTACGCTGGTCTCCTCCTCCTCCTCCTCCTCCTCCTCATCATCATCATCGCCCTCCCTCTTTCCTCCTCTTCCTACCTCCCCTTCGTCCCTCATCCCCCCCTGCTGCCTCATCCCTTCCCTCTCCATTCATTCGCTTCCCCACCCTTCCCTCACCTGCCGTGGTGGGGGAAAACAGCCCGAGGGCGGGGGGGGCAGCAGCGGAGGGAAATACGTGCTCACACGCATCTATGCTTGAAAGTAAGCGTTCGCCCCATATCACCCTACCCGAGAACTAATCCGAATCGCGCTTGCTTACTTCCCTCCTGCCCGTGCTCCTTCCCCCCTCGCCCGCTCCCCCGCCCCCGCTGCCTTCGCGCGCCCCGCATCCGCCCTCCGCCCCCCCATTGGGGTGCCACGTAACAACGGATTTGACTGCAGGGGACCTCGATCTCAACGATGGTGCTCTGATGTTGGGTGCAAAAAGGACGACAGATATGAGGGGCCGCAGACCTCGGACAGAGCACAGATATAGTGGTCAATGCCTCGCTCTCCTGGGGCTTTGCTGTGTTCCTGCTCGTTAA